TTTAAATATTACTCTTTAATAATACAATATACATTAGAAACTAAGTTTCTACAGAATTCAAAAAAGTTAAAAACGTGTTAAATAAAAAACAGCTCACAGCAAAACAAATTGTTGCAGTTTTTAACTCTATAAGTATTTCTCAAATCATTTATAAAACTAAATTAACCTTTTTACTGGCAATATGATGATGGTATCCTTTAGAGTTTTTTTTAAAAATAAACTGTGTCTAACCAAATTCTTACCAATTCTTATTATTTATTTTACCTTTAGATACAATTTGGTTCATCTTTATGACAAACAAATGTTAGCCAAATCTTCTGATTTGTTAAAAATGATCAATGATATCGCACTACTAGGAAATATTGCTAGACTGAGAATCATGCAACTTCAACTTTTAGAATGGTTACATCTATCACCAATTACCAATTAGCCTTATAATAATCCTTCTAATTTTAAAGACTGGTGGTCAGCCTTTCTCTTAGCAACCAAATTAGATAGTTTTACTTTTAAAAAATATTTAGACAAACATTTCGATCTCTTCTAAATCATGGACGATTCTTTATTCATTTCATCTATTCTACCTACCAATATATACAGAAAGTCTATCAAGAACATCTGCATTCTCTCAATCATATTTGTGAACTAATTCACCTCAATGGATAGGCATTATCTCTTTACATTTTTGATATCAATTGGCTTCTCAACACAAATATATCACATGCAAATTGGTTTTAAAATCTAGAATCTCAACTTTTGTCTAATATCTTCTCTAGGAATATGATGATAACTTGCTTACTACAGTCATCGATTTGTGACCTACCTTTAATAATGATTCAATTAAAAGAGAATAATAATAATGATTCCACTTTTGTGATTATTTAGTTTTACCAATTTTTGACTTATATAATTAGAAAAGTCAAAGCTATCAACAACAACATAATATACATATAACATTATATAGTTACATATAACTTAAACTTCAGAGCAGATATTAATCCTTATAATAGATGTAATCATTTTGATCCCACAATAATTGTCACAAATGTTCAAAAAAATTTTCACAATTTCTGTGCTATGAAACTTTCAGTCTAATTTTGCATAGAAATCAAAATCCAATACAACAAACATATAGGATGGAGATCCAGCCTTTTTGATCTTATGCTACAGAAGGTTATACTCTTTAAACTAACTAATCCTTATCATTATCTATTGAAACCTTTACCAGATCTAACTATTTTGCCATTTGACGCTTATTCAATTAATTTACTTGATACTCTTAAATCTAACTTTACTTCTGCTGCTTCTTTTTAATTTTATACGAATGGTTCTTTTACTTCTTTAGATTTCTCAAATTGCCAGTTAGGTATTACGTGATTACAAACTGATTCAAAATAGCTAGCACTTTCTTTTAATGCTACTCTTTCATCACTAAGTCCCTTTTTCACTCTTGCTAAAATTATTGCTATATTAGCTACAGTGTATGCTTTTCCTCCAAACTCTATTATTAAAATTTGTACTGATTCACAAACCGCTATCTCTTTCTTCTATAAACTTTCCTTTCTTTTTTGTGATTCTTTATCCATTAATCCTGCCTTTAAAATCCCATATTTTTACATTTAATCAATATTATTTAGCCTCATTATATAAAATAACATTTCTATTTCATTTACCAAAGTACAAGCTTATAACAATGATCCTCTTAATAATACTATTGACAAATTAGCAAAACAAATTCCTGCTCAACCACTATCTATCAATAAAGAATATCTAAGTTTAGAATATTACCTCTATCACAATTCTATTCTAATTATAGCTCCTTATTGTCTCTTCATTAAAAATAAAATGCAAGCTGTTTGGCAGACTCCCTACTTTCATTTTCTCACCTTATCAAATATTGTAACAAATTTATAGATTGGTCTCTTCTCTTCAAAATTCTGAATGATAAAGAATCTTCTTGTAAGACTTTCTTTATAGGCTATTTCAAAAAGAAATTTAAGATTAAAATGTTACTCCAAATGTTTTCTACTTTAAAAGTAGTTTACTCTTGAATTCTCAACACATATACCTCACTATAATGTTTTTATTGTCATTTCCAAACTGAAGATTTGACTGTGTCCTAATAATAAATTAAAACATTCAAGATTTAGTTCAAAGAGTTAAATACTCTTAATGATAACTCACTTATTCAAAAAATATCATCAAATTCCATTTGGAATTCATCACCTACCTCAACTAATTTTTAGTTTTTTGATTTATTTAAAAGTATTATATCTTTATCTCTGTTAGACAAAGTAATAGCTTGCTTATCTAAAAAAAATATATTGCATAGCTTTTTATCTTCACTTTATCATGATATTTCTACATCTTGTTATGAGATATGGATAAAAAGAAATGCTATTCTGAACGAATAGAAAATTGCTAATAATATTAAAGAAAATTATACTATCCCTTGGGTTTTCTAGGTTTTTTATACTCTTTTTCTCTCTTCACAACATCAAACCCTGCATTCTTTTTAGTGGTTACCGTCCATGGCTTCCATTGGTCAAATTTTTGGAACAGCAATAATCACGTTTTCCTTTTCAGATGTTTGATAACTGTATAATAGTTTAGTTTTCTCTTCTCTTTTCTATTTATAGTTTAGTTCAATAAAGTATAAGGTTAGTATTGATAAAGTAGTTTAGCCTATAAATTAATTTATAGATATTTTTGTATTTTTTATTTTATTATATGTATCTAGTATTATATAAATTTAATAAAGATTATGCAAAACTGCCACATTTCAAAAAAAAAAATTCGTCAGGATATAATTTAAGATTTAGGCTTTAAAACAAGTATAAAATCATGTTTCTAGCATTTGTAGTTGATGAGTTATAGCTGTTTAAAGGTAACTAATCACACTTGCATCTCTTTTGTTGCCTATTGTATGTATATTAATATATTTAATTTAATAGCAAGATTAAATAAAAGTATTTAAAATATATAATATAATTATATTGATATTATAATAAGTAATTAGAAAAGTAAAGTTATGTGTTGCTAAATGCTAACTAATTTAATAAATTTGTATTATAAGACTATGCTTTTACTTTTTATCTATAAAATTAAATAATAAATTATTTATATGAATCTCATTTTGACTTTATGAAACAAATAATGATAATCTTATATTTTGTTTATAAAATCTAAATATCTAATATAATAGTTTTTACGCTGATTTTAAAGAAGATCTTTTTAAATATTAAATAAATAAAACAATTTTTATGTGTATTTTAAAATAAATAAAAATTTGTACCTTTTTGAATTTTAAAAATATTATATAAAATATATTTAACTCATTTATATATCAAATATTATTTACTATTAAACTTTTTAATATTTGAAATCCAATTTTGTTTTACCATTCTAAACACTATTCAATTTTATTTATATAATTTTTAAGTATAATAATATATTTATTATTTTTATTATACCATAAATTACATTTTTAGATTTGCTATATACAGATATTATTTAATGTAAAAATCTATATTAAAAAAAAATAAATATATTAAATTTTTAATTATTAAAAATAATATAATAATTAAAAATCTTACATTAGATGATATTTTATTTTATTTGATTTTTTGCTTTAAAGATTTAAGATATTATTAATAATAATATAGGTTATATTTATCATTTTATTTGATATTTTTTTTTCTTCTTTTTCTATTTTTTATATTTGTAATAATTATATTTTATGATTTAATAATTTTTTTTTATATTCAATTTTTATTATAAGAATATTTTTAAAAACATATACACTTTTTATAGAATTTATACTGTTATTTTACGATACTAACGATTGAAAATTAGTATTAACGCAAGATTAACAAAGGGATTTAGCTTTTATTCAATGCTTTTTAGGGAGAGCTCTGAGAGTTTACAAATAATTATTACTTCAAGCAATAATGTATATTTAGAATAAACTTTAGGATTTTATTAAAGAATAAAGAATTCGATACAATTATATTTGTTAGCATATAATTGTTATTAGTATTATCTTATTGGTGATAAACCTAATTAAATTCCAATTGTATACAGTTAATTATCTCCTATTATCTACTGTTATTTATTGCTACCTAATATTATATTGTTCTTTTTAACCAAATCCTAAAGCTATCCTATTTATACTAAATTTGCTAATATAAATAAATAAAATACTAATTGATTATAAATAATAAATGATTAATAATACAAAATGATTAATAATATAATGGAATTTTCCAGCGACTTTTGGGTTTTTGCGTAACCTTTGTTTAATTCATTTTTCTTATCTTCGCTGTCTTCGTCGTCTAACGTGATGCAGTCAATATGCCTTTTTGGTCACATGTATCATATGATCTTTTGGATTAATATCTTCTTATAACAATACCACTTAAAAATTTTTTATAAATTTGTTATATTATTTTATAAAATTTTTGATAATTTTTACATATATTTTATTTTATAAATTTTTGATAATTTACATATTTTTTCATCTTTTATTATAAGTTTACAATTAATATATTAATATGTTTTATTTGGCTAACCTTTATTTTCTTAAAGGAAAATAATATAATACATTAATAATTTAACTATAAATTACATACCAATAGTACTTTGACCATAATAACTTTTAAAAAAAAACATATATTAATTAAGACTATTAATTTTATCCAGAATTCTTTTAATTACTTCAATAGAAAAAGAAAATCTAAACTTCTTGCAATACTTAACCAATCATCCAAACTTCATAACTGAAAAAAATATCTTAAACAAAGAATTTCTTTTCTAATCTTTTCTTATTATCAAAAAAAATAAAGTTCAAAACATTCATTAATCTCATGTGTAATGATCCTCACAAATTTCCCTTCAGCTAAACTTTCTCTTTGAATTAAAGAAATAATATCTTAAATATACCAAGGAATTTCAATGCAGACTACCTAATTGTGTAAGTAATTGTCTTCCAATATGAATTTGATTCAGTATGTAATTGATGCAATTGGTGGATTAGTAGGATTAGATTCCAAAAAAATAGTTATAAGAGCTGGTTGATAACCTTTATTTTTTAGTCCAATCATCTATTGGAAAATGTACCATATTTTCAATCATTAATAACACTAGCTTTTTTTCTTTTGAATCATAAAAAATTACACCATTAAGGTCTGGTCGAACGCAGGGCCCTGATTACGAAGATATCACATTAAGATAACCGTATCGTACACTTTGAATAATTCTCCTAAGTAAAATAAGTGTAACCATGTACACTTTGGCCATTTTAATACTAGTAAACTTAGTAGATATCACATAAATTATCACGACGAGGTTCCAATCATCTTGTAATGCCTCAACATTTTTTTTTGTTCGGTAGATCACTTTCAATATTTTCAAAAGACCGTTTCCTTTTACTCTAAATATACAAGATTTATCAATATTATTAAAAAAAAAAAAATAATAATAGCAGCTTTTTATTATTACCATTTTAAATTCTCTTGAAGTTCCATTAAATTTGTTAAATGAAGTACCTTGATCGAGTTTATTTCAAAACTAGAAGCATGGTAACGGTAAAATTAATTTTGTATATAAATGAGCAACGTATCTTTATGGCATGATGTTTCAATTGTTTCATTTTTATTTAAATCGAAGGTATTAAAATTTACATTTATAAGGATCGTCATAGTAATTTATATATGACTTCGGTTCAATCCATGATCCGGCATAATTCTGTAATCTGATCAATAGTAAATTTTTATTATAAACCAATTCTTTCTTGAGTCGTCCTATTAAGTAATAAATATAAATAAAATATAATATTTAAATTAGAAAATGATAAGAGTAATAATATATTACATAGTATTTTTCAAATTTCGAAGTTCTTCTGTGCCAACTATTGGAATGGGTGGCTGTCCTTGAAGTTGCTGTTGCCGTTGCTGCAATTGTTGTTGTTGTTGTTGTTGAGTGCCAGTAGAATCTTCTAGTTCAATACTTTTCCTTTTTCCTTTCCCACTCGCACCCGGTTTTTGAGAAAGCTTTCTTTGATATATAGCCCTAAGATCATGAAGCTGTTCAATGTCATCTTGACGAATATCTAAACGTGTAGGATTACGACGAAGCATTTTTTTTTTTTTAAAAAAATAAAAAAATTTGGGAATTAGCACTGTTTATATTTAAATTTTAACAACACGTGACGGGACAGATTTCCGAATATATATTTGGTTTTTTTATTTATACTCTGATTACTTTATATTTTGAAAATAATGAAACTACAATTAATACCAATTCTCTCAAGTATAATTTTATTTTGCGTGCACGTTGAAGTTGACGGCTGGGGTGATCGAGTTCTTCTAGAAAATGTTCGTGCTTTAACTCTGCATAAAGGAAAATACACAACTGGAAGAAGAACAAAGCCTATAAAGCAGATAACATGCGTTGGTGGAGACGCAGGCTGTAGTTATGAACCTGGTAACGTAACTTTCTTTTATATTTCAAAAGTTTAATTTGAATACTTTATTAAAAGAGTAATTTGTGTTCTGTAGACGTTATTCAATGCCGAAACGTGGGATCAGATGGATCAAGTGAGTATTATGTCTAAATAAAAAAAGATTCCATGAGTTTTTTCTAATAAATTCTTATTATTAAAAAGATCCAAATTGGAAATGTGAAGCAACTTTACCTAAATCATTAAAATTCGGACGTGTATGTATCATGTGTTAATCAATTTTATTCTAATATTTTATTTCTTTGTAGGATTTTTATTTATTAACTTATTTATTTATTTTTTAAAAAAAGTTAAAGGTTACATGCGAAGGTGATTTCTTAACATTATTTTACTGTTATATACTCGAATAACGATATATTAAATTTTTTTTTTGTTTTTGTTTTTATTATAGGATATGATTATCCAGGAGATCTCTACGTTCTGAAAGGTAATTAATTGATCAGAGAGAGAGAGATATGTATCTATATATATGTATACATTTAAAATATCTTGTGTAGGATCTTGTGGTCTCGAATATACTTTATATTTCACCAATATTCGAAACGAAAAACATTGGTTTAATGAATATTTTGATTCAAATTATGATATAACCGATCTAAAAAATTGTAAGTCAACTTATTTTCTATATATATAAAAAAGAAAAAAATTTAAAAAGATTTTTATCGAATTTTATTTAAAGCGTCGACGTCATTTAGCGCATTTTTTGGAATCATTTGGCTTGGCATGCTTGGATACATTTTATACAACATGTATTTAACATGTATGAGGACACGAAGGGCGGATAATAGGTAAATCAATACCGAAGAAAGATTAGATTGAATTAGAAAAAACTTTTAAATGAAATTTTTTTTTTTTTTTTTAATGTAGGCCCATCAACATACCGAACCCCCCAGAAAATAGAGCTGATAACGAAAGAATAAATCTTCCTAATCCTGGATTTTGGTCAGGGATTATAGGCGGTGGCTTATTAGGTTACTTATTTGGTAGAAGAAACAATAATAATAATAGTTATAATAATAATGATGATGATAATAATGATTATAACAGAACATGGAGGAGTAGGAGGAGGAGTTATTTTCGAGAACCTCCAAGTTATGGTGCAAGTTCTTCATATTTCACTCATGATAATGATAATAATTGTCATCGTTATAGAGATTATTCCTCACATACTACTTCAAATTATAATGATGATGATAAGCACACCACCTATGGTTTTGCTGACACTGATGTAAGATAATTAATTATACTAGGTAGTGAAAACTATTACGCCATAATAAATTATTGTAATTTTTTTATTAAAACTCTATTTAATTAAATTTGTAACATTTATATATTTGAAAAGAACGTATTTATATCTTAAAGGTACATTTATTATTTGTTTTACATCAATAAAACTTAAAAGACTAACGTAATAGATAATTAAATATATAAATTCTTTAATTCTTCTATAAATGGCCCATCATTAAAAAAAAAAAAAAGGTTTCTAATGTACAATAATAAAATGTCTCAAGAAGTGGGATGAGAATTAAAGAAATTAGTGTTTAGTTTAAAAGAGGTTTTTTTTTTTCCTTTTTTTTTTGTTAAAAAAAAAAAATAAAAAATAAAAAAAATATAATATCGTACAGTAAATACTAGTAAATAAAAAAATTTTATCAAAAAATTAAGATGGTGACCTTATGCACCTATAATTGTATATTTTTTAAAATAGGAATAAAAAAAAATGAAAAATAAGAGATTTAAAGAGGAGAAAAGGTATTGATTAATATTTTATAATAAAAAGCTTTTCTATTGAAAAAAAAAAAAAAAAAAAATAATCCCTTTTATCCCAACAATCTACCCCTTCCAAAGTCTCTTTTTTCTCAGCAGCTATATCTATATTATATATTAAAAATCACAAAGTTACAGATTTAAATCCATTGGTACCTGTTAATTTATCCAATTTTTTATTCTCCTTGTTTTTCTTTTTCTTTTCTTCTTTCTTTTCTTTTTTGCTGGAACTATCCTCAAATAAAGATTCCAGGCTTGATAAAGTCTTTTTTTCATCCTTGTCTTTATCCTTCTCCTTCTCCTTTGATTTATTATTAGATTTTGAACTTCCAAACCATGATGATTTTTCCTTTTCGTGTGAAGGTGTTTTTTCGTGTGTATTTTCATCATTGTCCTTTGAATCCTGATCAACATGTGATTTACGTTTATCTGAATTATTATTTTTTCTTAATATCCAACGTTCAGAGAATGATGGTTCCCTTACAGGAGTTTGACGATGCTCCCGCTTAAGTTCTTCGTTGTTCGCAGAGGTATTATTATTACCATTATCATTAACGCCATTTGTTGTATTCGGTGTAAGTTGTATATCTATAGGATGCGATTCAGCAGCAGCAGCTCCTTCTGCCGATATTTCAAAATCTGATGATGAACTAGAGGCCACATTATTTGCCCAAACAGAATATGGTAATCCAAGAGAGCTTAAATCTAAATCACAAGCCTGGTAAAATAACACATAACCTGACCCAGTTGCTGGTAAATCTCCAAAGTATTTATGAATCTCACTTTCATCTACCGTCTATATAAAGTAAAATGTATAAGTTAGGATAATTTATACAATTTAAAATAATTTAATAGCAGTTCATTTTACTATTATACCTCTACATTCTCGTCATCAAACAAGAGCCATTGTCCCATGCTTTTTACTAGTGTCACATAATGGCCATGATATGGACCACTTTAAAGAAATTTGTTAATTTTTTTTTAATAAAAAAAAAAAATAAAGTAAAATAATCTCTTAATAATCTTCTCACCTTCCAATATGAACACAAATTGCATAAAGTTCATAAAGACGATCGGGATCTTTAATATCATCACACTTATGTCAAAGAATCAAAAAAAAAAAGATATTAACTAAATGTTTTTGACGGATAATCATTAGTAATTTCTTAACATATATACCGTGTTGAATAACCGCAGTTCAAAGGGGAACACTACTCTATATGATAATTTAATATATTTTTGTAACTTTTCTTGATATTTAAAGCGCTTTAAATGTAACGCTAATACATTGGGTAGCTTTTTAATTTTCATACTATCAAAAGGATTCAATATAAATAAATTATCACATTTAAAATTACTCAAAGATATCATCATATGCCTACCTCTTTTCAGCCTCTTGTAATCCACAACACACATCGCAAAAAAATTTATTCTGGTGAACTAACATCTCACTTGCAGAAAATTGTCTCAAACATGATGTAACAGAAGAATTTTGTTCAATATCAATGGAAAGGTCCAGAAAAGGGTCATCTCTACTTGTAATCTGAAGATAAAAATAACGATTGATAAATGATTCAAACCATAACTAACAAATTGGAAATTTAGGTTTAACTCACGGTTTCACAGGTCAGGCATTTGGTTTCATTTGTTAATGTGCCCTCAAATAGTTGATGTACCCAAGTTGTCTTTGAAGAGAATGTATTGGAAGTATTTTCTGAACTCCCGGAAGAACTTCCATCGGCTTTGATACAATAAAGACAATTGAGAAAAAGTTATACTTGAATGTCACAATAAAACATCGACTAAAGAGTTACCTGAAATACCACTCTCCTCACTTTCATTTATACTTGCACCATTTACTGACGATTTTGACTTTTCACTAATGTTACAATGTTGTTCTTGTTCTTGTCTCTCTAATTCTTCTATTTTCTTTTGTTGTTCCATTACATTCTCAGCTACAGCATTAAGAATGTAATTTAAAAATTCATGTGCATCCTGATGCATCGTTGAACGAAAAAGTTCTGTTACAAAAATAAAATGAAACTAAAAATTAATAAATAATATAATCGTCGATAAATATAGTGACATGTGGGATAAAGAGAATAAAAATTTACCATTTTCTTTCTTTAGTTTTGATATAAATCCATTCGGTGCCATAACTCCCGTCCTTTTCTTCTGACTACTTATTTTCCAAAATAAATCCTTTAATGCACCAAACAATGTATCTTCACTAAGTCCATTTGATGTTGATGTTTCTTCATTTGCTATAAAAATGGTATATTATTTAATAAATATATTATTTAGTAAAGCAAACTTTTCATTACTTTTTTTTTTTTTAAAAAAAAAAAAAGAATATCCTACCTTTATTTTCACCTGTGCCATTTGCATCTTTTTGGGGGTAATTTTCGTAAATGATGATGTTGATGCTTGTGAATTAGTAAGAAACATAAGAGGTGTTAACAAACCATTTGGTCCATTAGGGAAGTTGACAACGCATTCTCGGAACGGTTTACAGAAATAAAGTGCCTGCAAAATAGAATTGCAATAGCTATTGAAAAAAAAAAGTTTATAATTAATCAATTAAATGAAATCTAACAATAATCTTAAATTGAAATTAATAGCTCACCAAGTATTTCCAAACTTAAAATGTTGATGTTCACGAACAAAAGAAAAGTGTTAATGCTGTTTGATAAAAGTTTTCGTGGGTTCTTTAGTTTGTAAACTTCTGCCCAACACCAGTTATTTTCAAAAACGTTCTTACATTTTCCAAGCCGAAATACTTTTCAGACCCACTACTCCAAGGTTCATTAGTAGCAGGCTTTCTCAAATCACCCTATAAAGAGCCGACGGCGGCGTTAGAAAGTATAAGTTGAGTTTAACGTACGTAAATTAAACTATATTTTCTTCGCGACGAAGAGTCAATTATTTTTTAAGAGATTTAAGTAAAGTCAACATACCATTCCAATCCATTTAAAAAGTGCCATTTTGCTGGTGTTTCAATCGACTTTTTTCGTCTTTTTTTTGCACAAATTCAATTATATAACTTAGTAAATTTGTCTTGATTGGCCACAACAATATTTGATCTTCATTATTTGTTAGATTCGAGCCCCCCAAAAAACCAAAAAAAAGCGGCGCCACTTTGATGTACCACGTGCTTAAACAAAATGTTCAGAATAGTTAGTCCGGAAGGACTAACGTCACCTTGTGCTCCGGACTTTACAATGATTTCCGAAACCGTTTCTAGTTTAGTGTTGTTTTGAGATCAATTTTTTTTTTTTTTTTTTGATATTTTTCAACTGAAAAGTTGATCTTAACAAAGATTCATAACTGATTTTTCAAAATCACATTTCTCTTCTTATCTTTATTATTATTCTTTAAAAAGCCTTTATTGAATGTCCAATATTTAGGTTTGAGTTTGTTAAATAAAATGCGAACTTGCTTTTATGAACTTCTTGAAGTAGATCACAAAGTTCCTGCAGAAGAGATAAAAAAAGCATACCGTAGGAAAGCTTTAGAATGGCATCCTGATAAAAATTATCATAGAGTTGAAGAAGCTACAGAAAAGTTTGCTCTTATTCAGGAAGCTTATGAAGTTTTATCCGATTCTCATGAAAGAGCATGGTAAAATTCACTTCGTTCACGTTACTGTGATTTAGATTAATAAATTAAAATTTGTTAATTTAAAATTTACAGGTATGACGGCCATCGAGATGCCATCTTAAGAGAAGGCAAGTTTGAATGTGTTTTAGAGTTTTGTTTAAATTAAAAATTTAAAGACTAATTTATAAAAAAAAAATATATATGTATATATTTTTCTTAGATGATGATATTTATGAGGAAAATGATTATTATGATGAAAGTAGTGCAAGAGGAAGATTTAGAACTACTGTTCAGGGAACTAGAGCTGAGGATATATTGAGATTTTTCACCGCAGCATGTTATCATGGATTTGATGACAGTGCAAAGGTATGATGATAGGATGCCAATTAAACTTCTTCCGCAAACTTACTTTTTTTTCATATCGTTTGATTTTAGGGTTTTTATACAGTTTATAGAACGATATTTCAAAAATTAGCAGATGAAGAAGCGAATGCTTTTGTGCATGATCGTGGCGAAGATGCTGATGATTTTCATCCATATCCATCATTTGGTGATAGTAAAGTACCAATTGATTCATATGACTTGGGAAGTGGGAATCCAATTAAAAACTTTTATACAGCATGGATGAATTTCTCCACCCAAAAAAGTTTTAGATGGTTTGATAAATATCGATTATCAGAGGTAAGTTATAGGACAATCCAATGGGGCAGAGGTTTTGAAAAGAGGCAATTAAAATGGTAACGTCCCTGAAGTAGGCACCAGATCGAACCGTTAAGAGGTATATGGAAAAAGAAAATAAAAAATCACGTGACCTCGCTCGCAAAGAATATAATGATACCGTGCTGGTAAGCCTTTGATCATTCATTTTTTATTATCGTTGAAGAATCGTCTAACATAATTATTTATTTATCAGACGTTGGTTGAATATGTGAAAAAAAGGGATCCACGATATAAGGCGTTTATAGAAGCTGCAGAAATAAGAAAAAAAGCACAGATTACAGAAGTTAAATTAAAAGGAATACGCGAACGTGCGGAGCGTATTGCTAAATTACAAGATTACCAAGAGCAGGATTGGACAAAGATAGAGGAAGAGTGGGAGGAGGAAGAGGAAGAAGGGGACGAAGAGGTGCCGAATGATGAATATTTTTGTGTGGCATGTAATAAGAGCTTCAAAAATGAAAATGCATGGAAGAATCATGAAAAGAGTAAGAAACATGTTAAAAATGTGGAATTATTAAAAGAAGAGATGCATGAAGAGGATGAAGAACTGATAAGCAACGTTGAAGCGGGTGAATTGGAAAATGAATTAAAATTTGAAAATGGTGCACAAAACGGTCATCAGGATATAAACCCAGATAAAAGGGATAGTGATGAGGAGGAAGGTAGTGATCTACTCACTCCCAAGAAAGGATTTAAAAAGAACAAGAAACAAAAGAAGAAACTGAAGACTCCTAATTGGGGTTATGATGATGAAGCAAAAGTAAATTCGACAAAGGAAAAGTCACCCAAAAATGGCGTAACTAAAGGTGTTGCAAGTGAAGATGAAGTTGATTTGTCCGAGTCATTAGAAAAAACAAAAATAAATTCTCGTGGAGGCTTTGAATCAGAAGAAGATTCAGGGACAACCCCATATTTCTTAAAAGATGAAGACAATATAGATCAAAACGAGAGTGGTAATTCTAAAAAGGAAAAGAAAAAGAAAAAGAAAAAAGAAGCAGTCAACCAGGTGATTTACTGGTCGCAGCTTGAATTTTGCCCTGTTCTCGTTATTATACACGCTATTCATTTATTTATAATCATTTATTTCTTATAGATTAAGTGTAACGTATGTTCAGAGGCATTTCAAACCAGAAATAAGTTATTTGACCATATCAAAGAGACTAAACACGCTTTGGCAGAATCAGTTAATTCGGGTAAAAAGAAAAAGAAAAATGCAAGGTAATTTAAAAATCAAAATACGTCACGGATCTTATTTTGAGAGATGGATACAATCTTCCAATTTCGATAATTTGTAATTATTGTAACACAATTGGATTAACATTAATTATTATAAAGTGGTTAATAATAATTGCACGAAAAAAAAAATATATATATATTATTATTTAATAATTTAAAGTTTATTTGTAAAGAATGAACTGGATTGATCGAAAAAGAAAATAAAGAAATAAAGGCTTTTTTTTCTTCGTAATGTATATTACTTAGATGGTTATCAAATCTTATTACCTGTTCAATATTTAAAGATTTGATTTATAGCTATCACATGACTCGAAAATCAATGACCGCAATTTTCATGCCCAACCCTTTAAGGACAGGTCGATCGCGTACATTTATCTATCAAACATGTTTAAACTTAGGGTGTCTAGAAAAATATAAGTATTAGAATATAAGGAATCAAATATTGGCAATAAAGAAACCAACAAAAGAAACGTTCTTAAAGAAGAAAAAAAGTGTTCGTGTGTAATAAAAAAGGTAAAAACATATTATTAAAGAAAATGGTTCGTTGAAAAATGTGAATCTCTACTAAAGATGATCAGAAACAAGATTTTAAAAGAAATGGTAATAAACACTGAAAATATGGATTAATTTGCAACCTTTGGTTTTCCAAGGATATATTCTCCAACTCATTTTCAAGTTTCCGAAAACTCTTTTTTCGTAGAAAATTCACGTTAAAAATTTGGTTATTTGTTTTATTAACACGCGTAATAAGTACAAAAAAAAAAAAACATATATATATATATTATATCTGATATTCAAAGCATTGACCATACACAAAAATAAAGGTAATACAGTATCAGACAAAAACTGAATTACACCGTTAATTACTTTTGCAATAAAAAGAGGATATGAACTTAAATCTTTAAGAATTTGTTACTAATGTGTTCCTGACGTTGACGTAAGCCGGAGTGCGAAGTTGATGATTACTGCCCCTATTTCATTTTTTAAAGAGAGATTTAATGTTTTGAACAAAATTCAAAACTTTTATGAACTATATAAAGAAACAAGATAATTACCGACGAGGAAAATGCAAAGAATTGTTGGCCCAAATCTATCATCATAGGGCCCCTCTTCTCTTTTCCGTATCTTTGCGGCCCTCCAATGATATATTAAGAGGGCATATATCATTATAGACATGGCTATTGAATTCAATTATGATTATGATGGGTTCAATAAAAGATTTCTTTTGAACATCTTTTTGATCAAATTAAATCAAAATTTCTCAATAACGTACCAACAAAGGTGAACGCAGCAGCCGAGATTTTCCCAACTCTATCTCCAAAGTTGAGAAGTCCAATCGCAAGACCACCTAACACAACTGTAAATTGTAGCCAAGAAAGAAAGGTTCTTTCGTTGGCAAAGAACACCTATTTTTACGTAACAACAGATTTAATAAAGCTTTCTTAAAAAAGATTTTTATCGTTCAATAAAAGTTTGAATATTTACTTTAGGTTCAACCCGAGCGGGAAGAGCTATACGTCTTTGAATAATTGGTTGAGTGGACATTATGATCTTAATTTCCTTTTTTTTTTTTTATATTTGAAATGCGAGTTTATCTAAAGTATTTATTTTTCTCAACCCTTATATATAAATTAACAATTCTTTTTTTTTTTTTTTTTTTTTTTTTTGAAATGCGAGTTTATCTGATATCTAAAGGATTTATCTTTCTCAACCATTATATATAAATTAACTTGCAATAAGAAATAATTAGCCAATTCAGCCCATTATTTCAGCCCATACCGATTAGGACTGCATTATTAATTTTTTTCCCCAATTGCTTAAACGCGACATCACGTGTCGTTCATTACTATTTTCCGTTCTTACAAATTGGACGCAGCAAAAAAAAATCGGAGGTTTAAGATTTTACACAAAATGTCCAAAAAGATTATAGTAATGTGATTGTGCGATAGTTAGGACAAAGAATTCTTTTAGGTCAAAAAAAAACTAAATGTAAATCAATATAATTTATTGATTATTGATGAATAAAAAGAATCATCATTTTTATAAAAAAATTATTTACTACCCTTCCTTTCTAAAAGCTAAATTACAAAGCTGTTTTATGAGTTGGCGGAACCTCTAGGAGGAAAACTTAAAGATGTATCTTCGGGAATTGGGTTATGAAATCAATATCTGCGTTTCCATTTTTGACACTCCAAAATAAATCTATATAGGATCACATGTACCGAGCCACCAAAAAAAATTATTAAAAGCCACTAATAGAAGTGACACAAGATGAAACCTCGAAAATTTTTTCCGGTAATTTCAAAAACCCATCGGTGATTTTCCAAAATCCTTAGTCCGACAATAAATTTGACAAGTTAAAGAATTCATTTTAAGAAAAATATATGTTAAACTTTTGTTAATTAAAACAATCTTGATTTTTTTTCAAAGAAAAAAGATAATTCCTTATTTTTTCACATCATCACCATCATTATTAGAAACAACTTTGGAAGTGATAGCTTTAATATCTTTAAACTTCTTTTTCTTTTCACTTTTAGTTTGTTTAGGTAATCCAAATTTATCAAGAAGAGTTTTATCATAAATTTTAGTAATGTTTTCTTTATAGGGATGTTTATCATAAGGAAAAATATGTAATCTATTTAATCGAACATCTCTTAATTTATTTTTCGGTAACATCCCCGAAACAGCTTTCCTAACAATCTACACGGAATACCATGTTGCGTTAAATTGATTTCAACGTTTTTTATTTTTTTTTTTCTGAAAAAAAAAAAAAAAAAAAAAAAAATTCCATACCTCTTCCGGATTTTTTTCTAATAAATCTTTAAATACAATTTCTTTTAAACCTCCAGGATATCCAGTATGATGCCTATATAACTTTTGTTCAGCTTTCCTACCGGTCACCATCACTTCTTTTGCATTAATAACTACAACATAATCTCCACAGTCAGCTATTTCAAACAAGAATAATTTTGGTCAAAAAAAGTATTGCAAAGAAAAAAATTGAGAAATTTTTTTTTTGATTTTTTTGATGATTACATGCGGGATCATAAATCGGCTTGTGCTTTCCCATTAAAGTCGTTGCAATACCGGTAGCCATACGACCTAATATTCTCTGTTTTGCATCAACTAGATGCCATACTCTAGCATAAGCTAACGCTGTCTAAAAAAAAAAAAGATCATAAACTTATTCAATAGATGTAAAATATAAATATAAATTTATTAAATATAATAACAAGAATACGATACATTGCCGATGGCTTGAGACATGAATTTAGATTTTTAATAAATAAATTGAATAATTTGGAAGAGAACCGATTTTTTTTTTTGTATAACCATCTCGGATTTAGCATTTGACGATCATTATAGTAAATGAGTGAAAACCGGTTTTATCGCATATGCTTATTTTTTCTTTTACAACTTTTTAAATCCCGAAGAAATTTACAATGTATATGATAAACTCTGCACTGCCCCGCTCAGATTTTTTACAAGAAATACTTTATTTATTTATTTATAAAATGATTCAAATTGTTATTTATACAAATGAAAATAAAGTTGACTATAAATAGGTCTGAATAAATTATTAATGAACGTTTTTTCCCAAATAGGTGCCGGATTGTCTACAGTATTCATCATTTTGGCACTTTGCACATAATTCTACCTTATGGGGTTTTACTCCGCCTGAAGTTTTTAAAGGCTCATAAAGCAAGATGAAACTTTCATCGTTTTCTCCTGCCTTGCATTTTTTACAATTTTGCATATAAAAATCATTCTTACGTAATCGCGGTCCAGGGATTTTCTCAATAAATTTTTGGAATGATATCCAAATATAAGCGCTTCTCCATTTTTTCCAGCAATTTGGGCACTTAAATTCACCATATACTCGGTAATAATCATTCCATAACAAGTGACAGATGATCTCTAGATCGGGTTCTCCATCCAAATATCTTGATCGTGTGTATTTACGGAAGCTTGTAATCAGATGTTCTTTTCTACAGGCAATATAGTCACAATTTTTCTTGAAAGATTCATATATATCTTCAGGGGTTTTATTTAGACACTTTTGAAGAACATCCAAAGAAAGCTCTTCCTCCCATCCAGGTTCTTCAAGGTCACGTTCTTCAAGCTTTTCACACTGCCAAAAGCCATAAATTACGTCTTCGTCATTATCTCTTAGAATTGAGACTAAATGTTGGAGAATTTTTAAAATATCTCGTCCTTTCTTTACTCTTCTTTCTCTTTCTCTTGGTGTCATCAACTCATTTCTCTTATACGAGGAAGTCACGGATCGATAGAGAGGAGAAATTGTACTTTCCGACATCAAGGAAGTTGTCTTCTGGGTTAAGGTATTATAACATGGTTGGATAGAAGAAGAAATTTCTTCCTTCTTTCTAGATTGGGCTATAACATTATACGGTTGGATAAAAGGAGCAGTTTCTACCTTCTTTTCCAAAGTTGTCCTTTTTTCAGATTGAGGGAGTGAAGGAAAATTTTCTTGGACGAAACTTATTTTATTTTGACTTCCTGATCCATTGTAAGTTGTTTTCTTTTGAATTTTTGCAACAGATATTGCATCTCTGAAGGTATACTGACAACGGGTAAAATAGGCTTCTTCTTCCTCTTCCTCCTCGTCTTTTCTAAAATTCATCTTGTTAAACTGAGTTGTTATTTCATTTAGAGAATTCTGATGATGATGTAACCAAGAAGTGGGATCTTCTTTTTCTTCCTCCCAGGAAGTTTCCTTTCTGGGCTCCACTGAGGAAAGTTTTTGTTCCATGTTCATTGAATGGTTTATAGAAGGTGTAGTCATCCCTTGAGAATTTGTTGTGAATGTTGCTTTTCTTGTGTTGTATGGACCGTAATAAGGAGATGTTGCTTTCCTTCTCTCTAAAAATGTTGTCACATTTTCATCATCTTGACCTTCTTTCAATATTGAGGAGATCGTTTGACCCATATTGTTGGTAAAGGGATAAGTAAACTTTTTTCCCAGAGAAGCAAATATATAGATAATTTGTAATGCTCATTTGACTATTGTAAGCTTAAATTAATCGGGTATGATCAACAGAAAAACAAAACAATTACCGCAAAAAGTTGTAATCCAGCTAATTTTATTAATCACCTGACTAATCACCTGACAGTATTTCTAAATGTGCCAAAAACTTGATTTTTTGTAGTATTACTTCAAGGTTATATTAAAAGAAGTATTTTGTGTTATTTTTTTATCAGCTATGGTTCATAGGAGGACTTTCACATGATTAGCTGATTATGTTACACGAATTTTGTAGTTGATATTATAAATATTTATATACATCACGTGATATACTACGCGATTATATAATTTAACTATTGCATTTAAACTATTTAGCATTTACATTGATTTTATATAATAGTCTTAGTTTTTATAAAAAAAAAAAAAAAAAAAAAAATGTAAAAAATTTGTTATTTTTATTATAATTAAAATGCTTCTCTAAATAAAATTGTCTTTTTAAACAATTTATTACTGTTAAAATTTACACAATGCCTCTTTTAATGCATATGCTACATATTCTATGGGTTTACTTTCATCATCGTCATTACATAGGGTATTATTTTCTGGATCTTCAACTTCAGCTTGCTGTTCTTTGAAACAATACAAGTATTCTAATAAAGACTGAACATATTTATCAATACCGACTTGTAAGAATGAGAGGCAATGCATGCATTTGAATCCAATATCAGTATAGCAATATTTGTGATAAGTATAATCGCAAGCTAAAACTTTAATAGGATTTATATTAATTAATAAAGAATTAGAAAAGTTAGATACATCGCAATATTGTAATAGATCTGGTCTATAAAGTATTAAACCCTAAAGTAAGATGACATAATCATACTTCTAGCATTTTTATCACTATTACTGTATTCTTCTGAAAATAAGCACACTTTTTTGCTATAGGGATGTTTATTTTCGGGTAGTTTAAAATATCCAAAAGTTTTAAGACCAAAAAAAACCAAAAAGCAAGAAAAAATTCTGAAATTCGATCTCACAATCGCTGGATCATGTGATTTGCGTTGATTGAATTCAAAATATTTATTACGTAAGACGCAAACAGATTTTAAACCTATTTTAACTCCTCTTCAAAAAATGAAACGTACACAAAACTCGTACTCTGTTGAACAGAAAAAAGAAGTGATTAATTACGTAAAAGAACATAGCCGAAATGAAGCCGCTAGGTATTTTAACCTTGATAAGTCCATGGTAGGACGTTAGGTAAAGGCTAGCATTTGCTGGACAGCTGAAGTAAATGAAAAAAGTAAGTGGGTTAGTTCTGGACGAAAAGCTTTTTTTCCAGAAGCAGAAAAAAAGCTGTATACATGGATAATAGAACAAAGAAAACAAGATTTTGCAGTTACCTATGGAACTATACGAAACAAAATGTTTGAAATTTAGAAGAACCTGAGTTGTTGGTTCTTTATGGTAATTTAATAGAAGAATTTAAGACGTCTCAGCGCTGGATTCTTAGTTTTATGAAAAGGTATAAGCTTGCACTACGTAGATGAACTAGAATATCCCAAAAACTTTCTGATAAAAATCGAGAACTGTTAGAAAGTTTTTATGAGTTTGTTACTAAACTAAGAATCGAAAAATGTTTTGAATTAAAAAACATTTTCAACATGGACGAGACACCAGTATGGTTCGACATAGCCAGCGTTTATACAGTTAACCAGAAAGGAGAAAAAACTATTCACGTTCACGTAACCGGAAATGAAAAAAATCGATTTACTGTCATTCTTACAATTGCTGCAGGTATCGTCTGTTTTTTTCTTTTCTTTCTGTTTCTTTCCAATTTTAACTTTCTTTTTCTTGTTATTTTACTATAAATGGATCCAAATTTCCTCCGATCTGCATTTTCAAAGGCAAATGAATGTCATGCGGAGAAAAAATTCCTCCTGAAGTTGTTGTTTGGTTCCAGAGTAATGGTTGGATGAACGCTAACCTGATGATAAAATATGTTGATTATTTGAATGAATTAAGGGTTAAAAATGAAATTTGGGAAGATTCATCAATGCTTGTATATAACTCTTTCAGAGACCACTTAGAAAAATCGGTTAAACAAAAGTTTTGTAAAAGTGGCATCTATCTCACGGTAATTCTGGGTGAATTAACTAACATATGTCAACCACTCGACGTCTCAATAAATAAGCCATTCAAAGACAAACTCCGTAAAGAATGGCATATATGGATGGCAAGCGGTGGTGCAAGAGAAACTGCTGCAGGAAATCTTCACCGTGCCAGTTTTAGTGATGTATATTTATGGGTTAAACGTGCTTGGGAAGGCATTTCTACAGAAATTATTTTCAACTCCTTTAAAAAATGTAAAATTTCTAACAATTTGGGCTTAGATTTGGAGGTTTCTAATAGCGATATTAGTGATGATAGTGATGATGATTAAGATTTTAATGATGATGATGAAATCATTAGTGATGATGAAATCAATAATGATGACGAAATCATTGGCGAAGATGATATTGTGTAAATTTTTTTTATATTATACAATTATTATAGGTGGTGTTTATATTTTTTTGTTAGTTTACATTTTATTTACATAATACATTAATACTTTAGTTTTCATTAATATAAACATTTTATTTGCTATAAAAATTAATAAAATTATAATTACGCGATCATAAAAAGCTTGATTGTAAGGGAATGCTTATTTACAAGTCCTATATATAACTGGAGATGCTTATTTTCAAAGGGTACTTACTTTTGGAAGAATATGGTATTTTTATTTTTTTATATTGTTTTTAATATTTTTAAACTATATTTGTATATTTTATTTTAATAAAATAAAATAAATTTTAATTTTAATTATTTTATTACAGTATATACAATGTATACAAAGAATTTCTATTCTAAGCTTATTTTTCTTTTTGCACAAAAGCTCCTTAGGTATATGCCGAACCAGTCTTTGTTTCTTTATATAACGTTCTACTGTATTTCTAAAGAGCTGGAATACTTTTTTATCAGTAAATATAGTTTTGTTCTATTGGTCATTAATATATTTTTTGTATCCATTCAATAAGTTTTAGTTTGTGTAATTCGGTTAGCATTTGTGTCACCTTTTAAATAACAAGATGCCTTCCGACAGTTCTATATATATGATAACTCCACACCTAAATTTTCTAATTCTTACCAAAGTTCTTGTGGAAAGAGAAATATCGTGTATTACATATTGACCAAGTGCAAGTACTTGTGATAATATTTTAGGTCAGACCATTCCTTCTAGCATGCTTTAACAAACCATGTTTTTTTAATTTTTTCAATTTTTTTTATATGTAATTCTTTGACATTATATATGCCATTATTCTACAAATTTAATAGAGTGTCATTATAAGCTTTTTTCATTGCGTAAGATTTTATATGGAAATAAAGGGTGTTAGTAAACACAAATGTTATCATCTGATTTTTGTTTCACCCACACAGTATCATTTGTTTAATATAATAAATAAATTATTATTATAATTACATTATATATTCAAAGTTAAAGGTGTGGGCGAAACCAAAATCTTAAGGTCAAAACGTTTCGGCTTTTAAGAACTAAAATCCGAAACTTTCCGATAATCTGAAACTATGATGAAATTAGCGAAACTGGCGAAATTGGCGAAACTAGACGAAACTAGCGAAACCTTCCAAAACTAGTTAACCAATCAAAATAAATGCTGATTTAAACCTTTAATACTATTTAAAACTAATCTGTGCTAATTAATCAATAAAATTAATTAAAGTTGCTATGCTAATTAATACACTATTTATACATAATATACAATTAGCATATAATTTATTATTTATTAATTCGATATATCTAAAAACAAAAATTTCACGCTTAAAAA